ACCCGCCCACCCGCTCCAGGTACGACTACGTCCTACGAGTCCAAACCTCGGCCAAGCCTCGGGTTTCTGCCTCTTGCGAGCCTCTCGCTAAGCTCAGAACTCCAGCGAGTCAACTTGTCATGCCGCCTAGGTCCAATGACATCGCGTTTCTTACGAACAGGGTACAAGCCTCGGCTTTTAGCCCGGCCTCGCAAAGTCCAGGATGTACAAGATCACAAGATCAAGTCACCTGGCTCAGGTGACACAGCCCACAGCCCTGCTCGCAACGCCGAGCCTACCGCCCTCGCCTCGCCTTTTCAGCCCTAGGCCTGCGACCCTTTCGGTTCCCTCCCGAGACCCCTCTGCCCAGGTCTATTCGGCTACATCGACGTCCTTGGAACTCTGTGAGATGGCCCTTTGAACAGAATCAGTTTCACCTGTCTTTCTGCTAGGAAGACCTTTAGTTGCCTCTGCCGTTGCAGCCCCTGCAGGCCTCCAATACAGTCGTTCACAGCCTCTGTGTCGACAGAAAACCCTGCCTTGCGGCAAGGGCCTACCCTTCAAAGTTGAGGGTACCATAGTTCTGCCTTGAAACTTCGCCTTGTGCTCCGTAGCACTCAGGTAGTGGCCTACACAACTGTACGTTCTCACAAAGTCTAGATGGGGGGTTACTTTTTTGCCTAGGGCCCAGCCTCGGGGCCTAGGCCCCTCCTTCTAGCCCCAAGCNNTGCATCGAAGAGTTTAAGTGATAGAGAAGTGCGACCTAGAGAACAGATATCGAATGAGATTTCGGATACAAGCAAAGCCTGCGAGAGGCGGCTCTCCATTCTCCCCTAGAAAGTCTGGAAAGTCTGGAAATACCTTCCAGGCCAAGGAGTTCGCTTGGACAATCCCGTCAAACCAGCTCCTGCTCGCCTGCAAACAGAGATACACAACACCCTCCAGGTCCGTTGTGACGTCTTGACAGCCAGGCAGGCAGTCCATGGAGGAAATTTCACCCTGGCTATCTGGATGGGGTCACTGCAGCAAGCAAAGTGGCGTATCATGTTGTGTGCGAGAAAACTGTATGGCCGCACATGACCTTTTGGACACATGTCCACGGTTGTATGGCTGAGATCGTGGGCTCGTGCAAACCCGACTGATCCGGGCCACATGCCCTTACAGTGTTTCGGGCAATAATGCCATTGTCGCAGTCCCACAGCTGTAAAAACAACTGCATGCGAGCTTTATATAACCCTGCTTGCGTCTCTCTTTCCATGTCTTCCAAGCTGCGTCATGCAAGTTAATCTTGTTGGTGCAAGTATACAGAGTATACATAACTAACCAAGCTAACCTCAACATAGCTAAGGTCAATAACTACATTTACGCAACTCATATGAGTGATGTGCTAACTGCAACAAGCAGATAACAACTTCCACGTTCACTGGCGAACACCCGCGCCCCTCCAAGTATGCCCAAGGCTATGGTAATGTATGCATGCATGCATGACTGTGACCGTGATGTGCCGCTGGCCGAAAAAATGAAAACAGTGTGTTTGCTTAGGGTTCACTATTGTTTAAGTTTAGTGGCTTCGAGCGCGCCAGTTTTTCAGGTTGAGAAGTCTGTTTTTAAGGCTCATAATTGGATTGTGGCTGTGTTTCCCGCAGAAAGCGCCAACGCTCCCTCCGTCGTTTTGAAGGGTTCGCCAAAAGCTGGCTTGCTACGGTTCTACGAACTTGTGTATGCGAGCAACGTCGGGGGGTTGCTCAGCGCTAGCCCACCAGTATCCATTTCCGGGTTTAAGCTTGCCCATCACTATTTGTCCAAAGCCTAAACAGACTGTGTATGGGGCTTTTGTCATGTGCTGGGCTTCCACGTGAAACGCAGTGGCTCATTGATCTTCAGTCTTCCGGGTCATGACGTTGCAAATTGTTTTTGTGTCAGTTTCTCTGGCTACATGTGTTGAAAGGTTCAAGATCTATTCTGAGATAGGGTGACTTGCAATGATTCGTTGGTTTGCGCCGGTCGCCGCTGCCTGAGACAGAAGAATCTGCCTTTTGCACAGCTCCAAGAGTTTCTTGTTCGTTTTTGCTGGTGCGATCAATGTCGGTCACATGTCAGCTGCAAGGCTTTTATTATATGGCAATTGTCCGTGGGACCTGCGACTGCAGACAATGCCAGCTGCCTCGTTTGGCAGGCCCAAATCGAGATGTCACGACCTGACGTAGATAGACAGCTCAGTGGCCCATTGAGTCGGTATCACAGGGAAATGGGTGCGAACAAATTGGTGACAAAACGACATGTGCCGGGATCCCAGGTTCTGCTTTTGGGTGGGGACGCTTCCTATCTGTGATAAAGTGAGTGTGGGAACAAGGTAAGCAGTCGGGACGGTTTGGCAACCGATCCGATAGCCAGGACCCGGGCAGGTTCGGCAGATGCCGCCAGAGAAGGCTACTGCTGTTGTAGCCCGCCACATCTGCATCCAGGTACCCCCTGCGCATGGCACAAATCCGGCATTTGCACGTGTGGAGCTCGTTAATTGGAATTTTGTACTGCAAGATTCACACGACGGGCACTTGTTGAGGCGCCTGGGTGTTATGGGCGTCGGGGAAGGCGATCTCGGCGGTGGTTGAAATCCTGAATACATGAGTCTCGACAGCATGGGAAGGTGACTACGAGGTTGCGACTTGCAAGGCCAGCCTGGGTCCGTGTCAACATGGAGGCCGGGCAGGCTGGCAGATTGCAACCGTGGCAGGTATCCGCAACCATCGAGGACACCTTGGCGACTGTGCAGACACCTGCGAACGCAGCAAAAGTTGGTTTGCAGGCTAGCGTTTTTGATGCGCAAGAAAGGTGCCAGGGGCACCGAGCCGTGGAATAAGAGACCCGTTGAGGTGGAGCTCGTTCCGATGGATGGCGGGGCCAATCGTGCATGCCGCGGAGCTACGGTCTTCCAAACGGGGTGGCGGGCTTAGACCAGCCCAGGCCTGATCTCACACACACCGCCAGAGATCCTTCAGGTTGCATGCTGGACTCTACAACGTCTGGACAGCATCTCCCCTGTGACAGAAGTCTGAGCCGAAAAGCTGTGCAAGTGCCACCTCGCAGGACGGCTCAGAGCTTGGACGAGTGCAAGGCGGAAACCTTTCTGGTAGCGGAAACCAGGCGTTGCTTTCCGTCCTTTCGAGGCGCTCTGCACTGGTCAATGCAAAGGCATCGAGTACCATGCCGCAGGCAAGTACTGCGAGGCAGGTGCAGAGTCTGAGGGTTTTGCAGATGTTGCGATCATCGGCCAGGGGCGAGCCGCTGTAATGATTGTTGCAGGTTTGGAAACACGATATCCAAAACTCTGCGGAGTTTCCGGGCTCTGAATGCGGACGCCTCAGGTAGCTAAGAGCGCCTCGAAACGGGAGCTTTTCCAACGTGGGCAGCTCTTGCAACGAGTGTGCAGCAGACTCCAGGCTATGCCAGGCCAAACAAGGCACGGCACTCCTCGCATGTGCAGCTCGCGCTTCGCGCATCCTTTGCGCGGCCCGTGACCAGGGTGGCAACATACCAGCATCGACCCTGAGCCTCAGTTCCCCGGATGCGGCCGCCACCGGCCGTTTGCAGAGAGAGAAGAAGACTGCTCGCGTTTTTCTCTTCCCTGCGCTGTTCGAACGCCAGGCGGACCTGGGCTGCCTCATCAATCAGGTACGTCCCAGTCCTCAGCTCCTTTAGAGCGAAAAGAAAACCGTGAGCCCCTGTGCAGCCCACGGGGTGCATGGCCATCCAAGACAAGCTCTCTTGCATCAGCCCTCTCCCCAAAGTCTTCGGAAAGGCAAATAATAAATAATCCGTGTTTGTTTGCCCGCCGAGCACTGAGGCAGCCTGGATGGCTCCAACACTTCCTTTGCTGGCATCCACATTCGAGGACAGCCTTGCGTCTGGTGCGGAGGTGTGCCCATGGCTCGGCAAAGTCCTCTCTCGTGATTTCTTCACTTGTGTGTCCGAGTTCATGACTGAGGCCATGTACGGACGGAGGTGTGTATGGATGTGCTCCGTACAGCCTGCTGTCCAAGGGCAGCGAGGGTGACAACAAGGTGATCCGATTCGACATTACCGTTCCCTCCTTGTGGCTCCATCCCGATGTTGCTCTCTGTGATTCATCGGAGGCTTTCTCGAGCCTCACGGCTCGTTCCCTAGCCCGTCTTGGCCGCAGCCTGGTTCGCATGTTCCTTTCAACTGAGGCCGTGGAGACCACCGTGGCGGAGTGCCATGCGGCCGCCCTGGTAAGATTAGAACACCACGGATCTGTGAGAAGGTTCTGCGATAGGCTTTGCTATGAGCTCAGACTCGCCGAAGGATCCTGTGGACTTTGCCCCAGAAGAGCTGGCGTGTCTCAAGTCCCGAGCTTGGAGCCGGGCAGTTGGGAGCCCGCTTTTCACTCGTCGTCTTAAGGACAGCACCTGCCGGCTGCATGGCCATCAAGGCGTCTTCTCTCTGGCTCCGCAAAAAAAATACGCCCTATAGGCCCAAGCTGTGCCAGGACTCGAAGGAGTGCACCTCGAGCAAGCAGGGAGCGCAGTACGACTCCATCGCGGGCTTCAAGGCGCTCCCAGCCTGCTCGCAGCTCCCAGCGACGGCTAGGGACGCACTCTGACGCTCTCGACATGGATGGCTTTCAGGCGAAAGGCCAGCCATGTGTGTGGTGCGGTGGCGGGTCCCCGCGCTCAATAGCAGTCTCTTCAGATTGCATGTGCGGGGCGCACCACAGTGTGTGTCAGGGTATGCAACGATGGGGCTCCCAACATGTGTGAGCCGTACGACTATACCATGCATGGTGAAGGCCAGCAGCCTGTTCTTCTGTTGCGAGCTTCCCAAGTTTCAGTTGTAGCCTGCGTCGAGGATATGCGTTCAAAGACAAGTACAACAGTCACTCGACTCATTTGTAATTCGTGCCGAGCTTCCTGCTTAGCTTTCTGCTCGTTGCGAGCCGCTCAGGTGCCGTTTTCTCCCGAGCGTCCTGCGATAAGGACCAGTGAGGGCACGGCAGCGCGGCAGTGAGGAGAGGAGACTTCTCGACTCTGCTGAGGACAGCAAGCCGGCTCCTGTAGAGCTTCCCTTGGAGCAGTGCCGTCCTCGTCCCCAAGTGTGGCACGCTGGGGACAATCCCAGCTGCAAATTCTGCGCCCCTGCAGTGCGAGGTTCACCAAAGGAACGAGCAAGCGTGCCGGAGCCTCTGATGACGAATTGGAGCGCAGGTCATGTCTGACGTGTGACGGTTGCGTTAGTTGTTGAAAGGTGGACTGCGGCCATCCCTACCCGCTCTGGAAAAAGGTTGGTCTAGCACCCAGTGAGTGCCAGTGAGGCCCAACAAAGGCGTTTTCTTTTTTTCTTTTCTGATCGTGTGTTTTGAGGCCAGAGGTGCGGCTTCTGCAAGGTTTTGGTCCCGAACATCAAGGCATTCCCGGGCATACCTTTTCGATTCGATTCGCTCGCGGCTCTTCGGTGAAGGACGAGTACAAGACCTGCGCCGACTACTGTGCCCATCAAGGAGCAGTGTCTTTCCATGCCCGCCATCTCCGTGCGTCTTCAAGTCGCTTGATCACCAAACAATTGCGAAAGAGTTCGGCAGGGAGAGGGTCGTTCCTTTCGTGCAGCGTCATCGGCTTGAGTGAGCCTGGGGACTAAGTAAGCCCATCGACCAGATGTAGAGGGAATGGAGGAGAATCGACGCTTGGGGCATGATGCACGGTGGGTCACGCGGCCGTTCTTGTGTCAGGAGGCCTCTCGTGCAAGTCAGCAGCCCTGGGTTCCATCCGCAGCTGCCTCGTGTCCGCGCCTTGGTGTTGCCCCGAACCGCGGAGTGGGGGCGGCTGTGCAACTTCGCGAGTAGGAATGGTCAGAAGACCTGCGACTATGCCTTCAATGCCGAAGCCTTTGACGTGACAGGTAGGCTCCGCTTTCATTGTGATGCCTAGCCTCCTGGTCCGCGTCTGGTGCCGAGGTCTTCGAGCATGGCGTTTGCCAGTGTGACCCGGTGAAAACTTTCGAGGCGAGGGCCCAAGGGGGCCCACCAATCCTTCGCCTAAGCCGACCGGACGACGCGAGCTTTGCAACACATGTTTGTGTCGCTTTTTGTTTCTGCGCTTCTTGGAAAATCATGGGTAACGTTTTTCAGCAATGCCGTGTAGTGCAGGGCCATAGGAGTTTTCAAGCAGGTGACTTGTTGTGTGAACCCTCAATGGGTTTGTTTGGGTCTCCATCCAAGCATTCTGGCGGGAGGGAGTTGGTGCAGCTTTTTCTGGAAAGTCTGAATGGGTTTGAATTGCCAACAGATGCTCGGAGGAGGTAATGAGATTGAAGACGTCCTTCGGGTGTGACAGAAAGGACAGACGATATGTTGAAGGTCGAGGTGTTTGTTTGGCCAGAATTGGGTACTTGCTGCGAGATGCGGCCGGGAAGGTTTGCGGGTGTCGGCTACTTCCCTGCCAAGACGTCGTTTAGAAGTCGTACTTGGCCCCGCTTCCTAATGGGGCTTTGAGACAGGAATGAGATGCCTTTCCGGAGCGGGAATGAGTGGGTTGTGTGGGAGGGAGCTATGGGAAATTCTCCGAGGATGTGTCCGTGTGGGGCTGTGGACCCGTGTTTGTTTCTTTGCCGAAGGCTGTGGCACATGGCAGGTCAGCAGAGCGAGTGAGCACCTATACCCGCCGCGACAGCCAACAAAAAAGCACTTGCACCATGATAGCAAAGAAGAAAGCAGAGGCCCCGTCACAGGAGCGAGTCCGAACCATTGGAAGCAGCGAGCAGAGTTTGATCCTGGCGGCCAAAGGCCCAGAACGCGGACTTTGCAGCGGCTGTGGCTTTACCTGATGCGGTGGGCAGCAAGCTGCTGTACTTGTTCGCAAAGCAGGGCTCTTCACAGATCTTCGGAGAAACTGGCAGTCGTGCTTCGCAGGATCAGAAGGCATGCCTGAAACCCGTGGTCGAGCTCTCAGACAGCACCGTTGCTGGGACATTCTCTCCAAATGCTGAAAGCTTGCAGCTGCAAGGCCAGAGGCTGTGCTTCCATTCAGGATAGGCAGAGCTGCCTGAGCCACTCAGTGCGCAATGATGCCGAGACTACTGTGCCCATGTGTGGGTGGCGGCTTTGTGAGGCAGCATCGACGCCAGCCCCATCGACAAGCAGTATGGTTTCAAAGTCGCAGGGGAAGTTTGCGTCTGGTGCGGTGGGGTGCCAAAGGCTCAGTGTTGGGGGTGGCTGGAATTCCGTGCGGTTGCATTGGGGCTTCGTGCCTCTGCTCTTGTAAGACACTTGCAAGGCCTTGCACGTCTCGACATCCCAACGTCTTCTGCGAAGCCCGAGATCTGGTGGTGAACGGTGCGGGCTTGGCCCTGCACTTGGTCACAGAATGTCAGACTTGTAGTGGACATGGTGGACCAGCTGCAGAGCTTTGCACAGGCTTTTGCAACCCGCGGGGTGGCGCATGACTGAGTGCAAGTCAACTCTACTCTCCGGCAGAATGGGAGCACTGGGAAGCGACGCCTTTTGTGATCTCTTAGGATGCCAGTGCCATGGTGGTGGCCAGCTGCCAGGCGCGGGGGGTGCAAGTGGCAGACGAGTGTGACGTGGAGACAGTGTCCAGAAAAGAGACTTCAGGGCTTCAGCCTTCGGGCTTGGGGAGGAAGGTTAGACTTGATTGTGGCGAGGGTAGCAAGCCCGCCGTGTTGGCGGAGCCGGAGACGCCGGATCTCAGCCCGCCGGGGCTCCACATGCCGGCGCCGGCCTCACGAGTAGTGAACCTCGGTTCACGAGTTTCGCCTCGGGAGCCAGCTGCTCGGCTGATAAGGTGGACTGCGGTGTCCCGTATCCCATCTGGCGCGGAGTTGGCTCGAGCCTCGAGTGGTAACTTGGGTGTTCCCCGCCACCACGACAGGTGGGCCCTGGACCCATAAAACGGACTTGAGACCTGACAGCCCATACGGACCTTCGGGGCCTGTGGGCCTCAGAGTGTGATAACCCATAAAACGGAGCACAGTCGTGCACGAGGGCCGCCTCATTTCGACCTTTGCCTCTTTGGGTGGGACGTCAGGCCGGCAGTGCGGCTTCTGCCGAGTTCAGGTTGCCAAGAAGGTGCGCGGGGATAAGTAGGCCATTGTAGGCTTCTTCTTTTTCTCTTAGGTTTTTGTCTTAGTCTTTGTGTTGTTCCCGCGGAAAGACACGCTCCTCCAGGCAGCGAGTTCCTACAGGACCTGCGACGCCTACTGCAAAGCCCAAGGTGGCCCCAGCGCTTGCGAGCCCTGCGCTGCCTGTTGCCCCTTTGTACCTCCACGTCTCAGGAGGTATCGCCTGTGAGAAGGCCTTCGTTGGCAGCGAGGGCGATTGCGACACCAAGCCGGACCCCCGAAGTCTCCATACGATTCTCGGAGCGTGTGATACGTGCAATACAGTGCACCGTCCTGGCGCCAGGTCTACGATCAGTTGTTCTGACACCATCAGCGAGATCGATGCTCTGTGCCAGTGCGCAGCACCGAAGGTGAAGGACCCTCCGCGCGTTAGCAGACCTTGTGCGAGATGCTTTCGCGTCTTTCAAAGCCAGGAGTCCACCGCCAACCTCAAGTACGCGGCAGCACTGCCACGCCCCGCCGAGGCTTGAAACGACCAGATGGACACGCACACTCAGTCAAAGTATGTACCCTGCCTATCCAAATCCGCCAGGCAGACCTTCAGTGCCTGAAAGAAGCGGCTGGGGACTCAGATGAGTGCTGTCCCACAGCCACAAGAGGGAGAGAGAGGGAGCCCGGGGCTTTGGCCCGCCATGCCCGGGAGAGAGAGTGAAAATTGGGGGCGCTGGGGAAGAAGAGAAAGTGTAAGCAAGAGAGAGGGAGGGCTGGAGTGGAGGGGAAATCGTCATCTTGCACAGTCCCAGTGCAGCCGAGTCAGACTGAGAGCGAGTTCGAGCGACGAGGGTGTCGGACTGAGGAAAATGGCTGCGGAGCCCTCAAGGACAAGGAGACATGCCTTGGAGCTTTGTACGCAAAGCTGTCGCCTTTCCCTTGCTTCTGTGCCCGTTGAATCCCGTGGTTGCGTGCCGCACCGAACTCAGGAAGCGTCGACGGAGGCCTCGAGGCTCTTCGGGGCCTCAAGGTCCGCGGAGAGCCGTGTGTTTGGTGCGGCGGTGGGCCAAGGGCCCAGAAGCGAAACTGCAGAGACGAACAGAGCGAGTGCGAGTGCGCTCCTTTGGGTGCTCTCTGTGAGATCTCTGAGGCTTTGCACGGACCACAGCTCTTCCGTCTGCGGCGCTTACGACTTCCTCGCGAACGGCCTGGGCCTGGCTCGCGGCTCAGCGACGAGCGCCCCTGCGACAGCGCATCAGAGAAGTTCTGTTAGAGGCCTTTGGTGTTCGGGCCGGGGACTTGGAGACACGGACTCCGAAAGCGAACCTGTGGGGGAGAAGCCCTCCCGCGCCAGGCGCCGGCTTCTGTTTCAGAGGTTGCGACCTGCAAGAAGAAGGTGTGCGGCCTGCGAGCAGCTGACTGATTTTTGCATGTCGCGATGTCCTACAGGAGCCGGAAGAGGACATGGTTCTTGGAGCGCCTGCCTCAGATTACAAACCATCGAAGCAGTTCGGAAGTGTCCTCGGGATGTGCACTTCTCCCACGAGGCCGCACCGCCCGTGCCGGCCGTCCCGGTGGTGAACGCCTCGGGGAGTTGCTCTGCTGTTGTCTCGCGCTTTTCCGGCTCGCGCTTTTCCTCGAGGCCAAGACCGGGGCTGCCGGTCGCTGCCTCGGCGCTCACCGATGCTCACCGTCACCGTCCTTGCAGAGCCCGTTTTTTTCTTGGAGGTCCCAGCGCCGAGTGCTCGAGCCACGCCAAGTGCGCCAAGCCGGAGCCCCAAATCCAAGAAGCCTCGACTCCTCGTGGGCTTGACCCTTGAAAATTAGGCTGGAGGGCGCTTGCTGCCCCAACGCCGCAGGGGTCCGCTGCCCATGCTGCCCTCAGAGCGGCTCGGCTCAGCATCTCAGCAAAACTCTCAGGTCTTCCTCGACTGCTGCAACAGCCTCGAGCCGCTGCCAGCGGCGCCAGCGGGGCCAGCGAGCCTTGAGGCCGGGGGGCGACAGCGCCCAAAGCGAACGTGCTCAGCGCCGGGGGGTGCTTGGAGGCTCCGCCCGCTCCGACGGCGGTGACGGCGGTTGTCGTGCCGCACGTGGTCGTCCCCAAGGAGCTGGGCTTCTAAAAGTGCGCAGCCGAGCCTTCCGCTGCGAGTGGGCGGCCTCCAGGAGCTTCCGAAGCTGACCTACATGGATGAGATGCCGGTGGGGGGAGATTTTTTGAATGACTTGCATTGAACTGGAATGGCGCGGCAAGCACGCCGACTATCAGGAGCATCCTGCCCAAGCACCTGGGCCGAGAGAGGTCACGCTTGTCGAGTCCTCAGGAAGACCGTGGAAGACAAGGCTTTGAGGAGCAAAGCACCCGCTTTTCTCAGGGTTCCATGGCTCCTGGCTGGAAGCCTCCACGTCCATCCCAGGTGCATGCATTTGCATTGCTGTAGTCCTGGGCTTCGTCGCTTCGTTCGGTGGTTTGCAGGAGGAGCTGCAGTGCATGCTCCCAGAACCGAAGGGATGCAGTGCCCCGGCGATCATCGGAAAAACGCGTTGAGAGTCGTTGAGCCCTCATGCTGGGCCTTTGTTAAGGTGCAATTCGACACAAGCTGATGTGCATCAGCCGGAGCCTCGGAGGGAGACACGTTTCGGAGTCGCTCTCGGCTCGGCCTCGCAGGCCGCGTCGACGGCCGCAGCGGAATGAAAGATCACGGCTTCAACGTGGGGGGCGAGCCCTGCGTTTGGTGCGGCGGAGGGTGGGCCCCCCCTTCTTCCATCGAGTTGTCTACAGCTTCCATCTGCATTCTCGCGGCGCTGGAGGCCCTGCAACTCCGCCAGCGACGCACTCTGCGAGCCGTACGACTGGCTCATGAACGGCGAGGGCAAGGCCCACCGCTCTTGCGATTTGAGCATTCGGAGCACGGTCAGCACGGTCTCTTAGTACCTTAGGCCTTCGACATCCTCAATGTGGGGGCACCCGGACGCAGAGCGAGCCAACTTGGAGATGTTGTGCAGTCGGGGAAGCTGAAGCCCAGGCGGCGCATTGGCTCGTGGCCAAGTGCCAGGTGTGCTGTGCCTTGTGTACCTTGGTGTGTCTGCGCTGTGCTGTGCACTCTCTTTCTTGGGCGTGCTGGTGCTGAGCAGCTGTGGTACAGGATGACCGCAACGCGGTCTTCGACGATCTCTCTTGCTTGAAGCGCTCGACGGTCGGATGCAACAACATCCACGCCGGGGGCCCAAGCCCAAGCCGCACAAACAATGCCAGCAACGCCCGCATGAAGAACGAAGCAAAAGCGCCTTCGCGCGTTTTTTCTGAGAGTCTCTGGCGGGCCGAAGGACCAGGGCGAGTGCCTGGCCTCCGTGGACGCCCGGCCCTACGAGGAGGCCAGGGGCCCCGGAGCCGCGCCTGTAGCGACACTCCACCTTTTCAAAGCTGGGCTTCTCTCCAGGTGGCGGGCTTCAAGGCTTTGCGCTCAGTGTCTCTCGTGCTCTCTCGCGCGCAGGAAGCGAGACTGTGTGTCTGTTCTCCTCTTTGCTCGAGAGGCGCGGCACCAGCCCTGCGTCTGGTGCGGCGGCGGGCCCCGGCCTTGGGGGGATGGCTCGGGGCGTTCGCTGTCCCCAGCGCTTCCTCGTCCGTCTGGCACAGGAGCTGCCACTCCAACAACGACAACGCCTGCGAGCCCTATGACTTCGTCATGAATGGTGCAGGCCGGGCCTGCGAGCCGAAAGAGCCGAGCGTCGTTCTGCGCTTTCTGGAAGGCCAAGCCTTTGATTACACCTACGCCCAGAACACCTACCTGGTGGCCGAGTGCGAGGCCGCTGCGCCGGCAGCGCTCCTCCTCTCCTCCTCTCGTGCCTTCTCCTCTTCGGCAGGCCGGGCACGTGAAACCGCACAGCTACCCGGCCGCCCACATCGAGCGCGGCCTGCCGGCACCGGCCAGGGCCCCCCCTTTGTTGTCGCGGCCCGCAAAGCCTCCGCTCTCCCAAGAGCTCGGCAGGTGCAGTGTGGGGAGTCCACGAAAACCTGGGACTCCGTCGGTCCGAGCCCCGGTGGCCCCGGCGTCTGTCCCCCCGCCCGTGCGCGCCCGATGCGGCGCAGGCAAAGTCTGCGGCAAATGCGATGTCACGGTGCCGAACATCAACGCCCGGCCCTCTCTCTCTCTCTCTCTCATGCAGCTCTCGCTGCTCTTGAGGCGACCTTCGTGACCTGCGATAAGTACTGTGAAGCTCACGGTCGCTGGTCAGCATTGGTGAAAGAGGCTGTGCAGGTCTTTCTTGCTCCCTTGCGCGGTGATGTGTGGGTTTTGTGCAGACTAAGGTCTCCAGTGTGAAAGTTCAAACCGGGCCTTCACGCACAGCTGCGAAGTGCAGACTTCTGAGTGCGCCAAGAAGAGTGCTCTAGACATTCTAGAAGCATCTTCCCGTTCACCCACTGTCATTGATATGGCCTGAGCCTTTGTGTGATGTTGGGCGGCAGGTACATCTATAACTGTAAACACGCCTTCGAGATGGGCGACTTTGCCCGCTGCCAGTGCTCCAAGGAGGCTCTCCGGCTTCGAGCCCCCAAGAATACAGCTGCAGCTGCCACACTTGAGACTTCAGAGGCGTCGCCAGCTGCGAAGGCAGGGCCCATGCTCCTGCCGGCGGCCCCGCGGCGACCCCAGTCGCAGAATGCGGATGAATGCGGATGAATGCTGCTGGCCGCAGTGGCCAGGTACGGGCAATGCGGCGGAAAGCTCTGGAAGGGAACCACTGGTTGCCAGGCAGGCTTCTGGACACCGTATATGGGCATGACCATCGAGAGCGCGAAGCCCCGGCGTCCCACTGCGTCCTTCAAAGCGCTTCTGTGGTCTGACACGTCTCGTCGCATCGGTCAAAGGTCACCCATGTCATCATCTCATCATTTCATCGTCTCTCCTCCTGCAATTCTCTGATATTCTCCGGACGGCGCGAAGACAGAACTGAGTCTCGCCGTCATGAAAAGCTCTGCCACGAATCCACGCACCGTCGTTGTTCCTGATGGTGGCCTGAAGGGGCCATCAGGCCACTTTTCAGAGAAGAGATGCTTCGGGTCAAAAGCCTTCAGGCCGCAAGCCACTGCACCGTCCCACTCTCAGAAGGAGCAGTCTCTGCGCTTGGGAAGGGAAAGGGGGGAAGGGCTGACGCAAAGCTCTTGATAGGTCATCAACGAGTGGTACAGTCAGTGCCTTCCCGGTGCACTGGTCCTCAGAGTCTCTCAGAAGAAAAGTTCTTCGACTCAGAGAACCTCTGCCGTTGTTTCCGAGGACCTGTCGAACCCGGACCAAGCGGCCGCGGCAGCGCAGGTCGCGGCGCAGGCCAGGCGCCTCCCGGAAGGACTGTAGAGAAGGAACCTTCCCCCCTCCGCCCCCAAAACAGCGTAGCCGCTTCGGAGGTGCAGGGCAAGCCCATCGAGGACCAGGCCAGCCCCCGCCTCTGCTCTCACCTCTCTTAAAACACAGCTTCAAAATTGCAGCCTGTGTACAGATTCGTCTTGATGCTCTTGTGAGCTCGCAAGGATCTGGTCTGAGGATAGCAGGTTTTTCCACAGTTTCTGGAGGGCAACGGGGGAAGGTTGATCGACGTCTTGAAGGAAAAGTGAACAAGACAAATCCGCCCGGACTCTGGGCTTTTTGTGCCCTGTGGTCTGCAGAGAGATGGAGTCAGGGTTCCCAAGAACAGAGACGCCAGCAACTAGATGCACAAACCTATTCCCTCCTTGCTCGCCAGTTTCGTGCAGTCGGTGGGACCCGGTGATACTACCGGACATTTCGCACCACACACTCCGTTTAGGGTTTGGGTTGTGTCGCCAGTTTCCGTTTAGGGTTGGGGGCGCCCCGGGAGCTGGCTGCCAGGCTCTGGCGGCTCCTTTTGTGGTGTTGCCGGTATCGGTTTTTTCGCCTGACTCCTGGTTCGGCTTCAGGCTTTTCAGGAACTGGTCGCTCCTTTTGGGGTTGCGGAAAAACTCCACTCCCTGTAGGGTTTTGGGTGTGTGCAATTCCTTCCTTTTAACCTTTTATGGTTTGGGGTCTTCTTACTTCAGGGTTTCGGGTTTTCGCACCACGCACTCCTTTCAGACTAGCCTTATGCCGCGTGCCTGCCACGATAAGCACATGATCGAGACAACGACCATGGGTCACTTGCGGCGCACCGTGTTTGCTACTGACCTACTTTATCCCACGAGGCTTTCATTGTTTTGTTTTTCTGTGGATACAAGGGTTGCCATGTAAGCCGCGATGCAGGTCTTGGTGATGCTGGTGACCGAGATGGCGATGTATAGTGTTGACCATGATGGTGATGGTGTTGGTAGCTTCTGCCGCTTCGGCTGCTGCTGCTGCTGGTGCTGCTGCTGCTGCTGCTGCTGCTGCTGCTGCTGCTGCTGCTGCTGATAATCATCATGATGATACGACGGCGATGATGATCCGAGGCCGATGCATATCGTTAATCGGGAATGTGATGGTGTTGACAGTGACGGCAAGTCGGGTTTTGCAGCCCAGTTCTTGAGTGCAAGTACCGATGTCCACAGGCGGACTACGCAGGGGACGCTGCCGCGAAGGCAGCTGCTGCGGCCGGCATGGCCGTCCAGACCCAGGCTCACATGGCCCCTCACTGCCAGGGGTGTTTGTGGTCTCGACGGCTGCAGGCGACGAGAGCCTACGTGGGCTCTGCAGGAACCGGCTATAAGGGTGGCATGGACAAGCAGCAGGCGGGGGGCGGGGTGGAGAAGTTGCAGAAGTTGGATCCAAGAATCTAAGAAGTCAGGCGAACGCGGTCGGATCCGATGCTGCAAAAGCGGCGGTGAGTGGGGCAGGTGTCACCGGAGACGAGGCCGCACCTGCAAAGCTTGGATTGCGTGAGCTGTCTACGAAGTCTCCAGGCCGCGACGATCGCACAGGAGGCGCGCAAACGTCTTCGCAAAAGAGGGGGGTCAGAGGCTTCTGGGCTCTGCATCTAACGCGCTGCTAGGCCATCGAGGATGGAAAGGCTGGACGGCTGTGATGAAGCCTTCGGCATGTTCTTCACGGAATCAGAACAGGTGATCGTTTTTGGAGACGAGTCTGCAGCCCAGTTTCTGACATCTCGTGCCGACGGCGGGAGCAAACGGTAGTCGTCTTGTTGAGATTGTTCAGCGAGTCCTCAGGACCGAGAAAAATGCGGTGGCCGTGGCAGCCCAGACGGCATCCCAGTTGGCCAAGGCCCACAATTCTGCACCGATTGTAAAGGGCTTCGTCTACCAAACTGAGGGTTCAAGTTGTGCCCTGACAGGACAATGGCAAATCTGCACAGGAGCAGTTGCAAGGGGCTACTTCTGCGCTTCTCTTTTGCCTTGAGACTTCGATGGCACAAAAGGAGCAGTGCAGCGACGCCTACAAGGCGGCTGCCAAGATGAGCCAGGTGCAGCCGAAATCAGGGCCGGGCCCAGGAAACACGGGGTGTCGCGACAGGTGCAAGGCGACGTGTCGGTGGCCAAAGTCGCTGGCAAGTGGGCCAGCGCCGAGGCCGCCAAGGCCGGCCTCAGCCCGAAAGACCGGGTGGACTGCGTGGTGAAGGCCGCGCAGGCCAGGCGCGCGCATGCACTTTGCCCGTGTTCTCTAGTGCTCTCTCGTGCTCTCAGGCCCATGCGAGAGAGTCTGGCCTCGAGCCTTCGAAGATTGCGGATGCCATGCACGATGCCGGCATCGCCGCGGGCAAGAGCACGCAGATCCCACGGGACCAGGCCGGGGCCCAAGCCAACGACCCGTGGCTCGTGATTGGACCTCAGCTGCAAATGGTGCTCTTCTCGATCCTCTGGGATAAGACTAGCGAAGACCAGGAATCCGCCGCGATCCCATCGTCTCCGTCTCTGCGCAGAGCTCTGTCATCATAGTAGACTATATAGTCTAGTAGATAGAATGCGATGACGATGACGATGACACATGATGGTCCGACGTCATCTTCGGCATACTGTACTTCCCGGGTGACCCGTAGCGAAAGCGCGGAGACTGCGGTCTGTTTGTTGCATCCATCGAGCAGAATCGTAGCTTTTCATTCAGCTCGAGATTTCTTGACGCGTTCTGGGTAGCCGTGCTAGACTGGTTACCTCCTGTGTTTTTTAGTGCCAACTCGTTCACAGGTCGATGGCACAGTCTCGGACAGCATGAAGGCCGTGCCGTCTTGCCCGGCCTCTTGCCACCCTGTCCGTGGCCCATGTTTCTGTGCTCCGATCGCTTCCGATTCTGCAGGACACGGAAGTGGGGCCTGCGAGCAAGCTGCCGATCCCCGACGAGCTCTACGACAAGTGCCACAGCGCCGGCCAGAAGGAGGTGGGAGCATGCGGGAGCGGGAGGGAGCGTTTTGGCTTCGATGCTTCAGGCCGAGAGCTCGGAGGCTGCGAGCCAAGCCGCCATGGTGGCCACGCAGCTCGGCAAGACCTGGGGCCTTTCCGCCGCCGACACGGGAGAGTCGGCCAGGACGCTGCGCCCTCTTAGCGAGAGCCCCAAATCCCAACTCCAACCAACCCAACCTCTGCAGGAAGTGCGCCTACGAGGCTGCTGAGACCGCGAAAGCCACGGTGGTCCAGGTGGGATCCCAGCTTACTTGGGCAAGTGTGAGCTGTCAACCGTGTTCATATGGCAGGCAACGGCAGCAGGTGAGGCTGCAAGGAGCACTGCGAGACGCCAAGACGAGATCTGGTGGTCGTAATTCGGAGCAGAGCGACTCGGAGCGTCAGGCAGACTCGGCCGTCACCGGTCCTTCGCATGGTGTGGATCTGAAGCCCCAGCCGCTGCAACATACCGGCTCGAGCCTCAGAGGACAACCTAAGAGGACATCCTTTTTGGCATTTTGGGGTATTGGCACCTCAGGAAAGGATTGCTGGTATGCCTGCTCCCAGAGGCACTGTGCAAGGGAGTGTGGCAGAGTTGCATAAGTCGCCTGCGTGGGTTCCGGCCACTGAAGGAACGGCCTCTGCGCCTACTGTGGGATTGGCAACGCCTGCTGCAAGAGGCCAGTCTTTTGAGGGACAGCTGTGGCCCAGTTCGCCGGCATTCTGTTGGTTTGGAACTCTTGCTTCTGGTGTTGGAGAAATGATATGGAGGGCGCACCCCCTGCATGGAATGACCAGCCCGGACGCACGTTCGCCGAAGTTCGTGGCGGTCCAATTACCGTGAGTGGGGCATTGCGGCATTAAGCGCCTGCACTGTGTGCGCTTGCAATAACTCACTTTAACGCAGGACTTCCGCGACGAATGGAACTGCACACCTGATTTCAGTCGATTCTGTCCAGGCAGACACAATCGACTGCAGCAACGTTGGCAAGACATCACGTGACACCGATAACACCGACTTGGTTAAACTGCCACTGTGCCGGCTATTGAATGACTGTGCATAAATGGTGGCAGACGGAGACGTGGAGATAAAACGAATGCTCATGATTTCTACATGCAAAGCCTCTGATATGGAGTTATGCATGCACCGTGCATGAAACTAAACTATGCAGATAGTCATAATCCAGTTTGACCGTTGGGTGCTCGCATGCACGCAGGACTCTGTGAGGTTTTTCTTGTATCATGAGTGGGCGTATGAATGAGACATTGTCAGACCTGAACATGACAACCCATGAGCTTGAACAGCACCGTGTAGATCTGCAGAAGAAAAGAGCGTGCTTATGAAAAACTTTGCAGCGGAGTGCCTTGCCTCGAACACCCCATGGTCGACCGGAGTCTCACTTACCCGGCTGCAGCACGTATTTCGAAGGCCTTTGAGTATCATGATGTTGGTCGTTTCTGAATCTTGATACAGCCTCCCTGACTCTTTTGAGTTTGTTGCTGCTTAAGGCAAGTCGTCGCATAGAGAAGGACAGGTCTGGTTGTGGCAGCATTGCAGTCTTTCGAGTCTGAAGCAAGCTTTCCTGAACGTGAAGTGCAAAAGGCAAGAATGCTGACACGTCATGACGCGTCGATGCAGCGCCTGGAGGTATCTGAAGTAGCTGATTCATAACCTTTGGGATCAGAACCGATTGATCAACCAACCAAGCTTGCGCAACCAAACGCATTCTTGAAGAACCAAAACCGCCGATTGCCCAGCGGTGGAGTCTCCCGGGTGGGGAGGGGGTTGGCACCCAGGAAACCTCACCGCAGCCTCACACGGACCTCCCGAACCTGACCTAATCCCGATCGTAACCCAACCCAACCCAACCCAACCAACCCCAACACACCATTCGGTTGTCTTAGGCCGGCTTGGGGGATTAGGTTAAGTCATGTGTTGCTTTTTGGTTCCGGCTGTGTTAGCGGTCTAGGGTGTTGGGGTTGGTTGGGTTAGGTCGTGTTACGATCGGGATTAGGTCAGGTTCGGGCATTTTGGGTTGGGTTGGGTCGGGTTTAGGTTTGGTCGGGTGATGCGAGGGTGGGTCAGGCGCGGGTGTAGCTTATGCCAGGGTTAGGTTGGCGGTGTGGGGTCTGCGTGCGCTCTCCTAAATGAGAGGAGTTTCGTCTTTATGCTGGGTTAGGTCAGGTTAGTGTCAGGTCGGGGTCAAGTTTTCGGTCTGGTCAGGTTGGGGTTGTAGGGGTTTCGTTTGCTTGTGTTTGGTCAGGTGGTGTTAGATTAGGATAGGTTAGGATCAGAGTAGCTTAGGTTGGGTTCGGGTCAGAGTTAAATCGGGCTCAGTGGTTGGATGATGCACTGCTTTTTGAATTTGGTGAAGCCCTCGGCCCCCTCTGGTAGCAGCTGTTTTGGATTTGGTTGCCCAGCGGGGCTTCTTGCTGGAGGAATCTGTCCTTGTGGTTGGCCAATCTGCGTATTAGGTTTGTAATCTTTTCTACCATACCCTTGCTTTGACGCGCAACTTCACCGCACGGTGTATAACAGAACCACGCTCTAGCGGACGGTGGCTCGGCTTTCCTGGACGAGCATCGTTTCCAGCTGATTCTCAAGGTGCGCATGCTGATGACTCAGTTTTTCGCAGATTCATGCTTGGACTAAGAAGATGAAGCAGGAGGCTGCAGGCTCCACGGCGAGATGTTGAACGCTGAGCACAAATCGTCCCCGGCAGTCTTGGTGGGTGCCCGGAATTTGTATAATCGTTCGCACTGATCAGCCGCCATGCGACAGGGCGATCGGTACCACCGTTCTTTGGGTGAGTATGTCTTGTAATACATGTATTGTAGCAGAAGCGCATGAGCGACGTGCGGCCACAGGTTCTTTTCGCTTCAGCTGCTCCATGTCAAACTTTGTCAAACCCACCCTCGCCGCCTTGTACGGGGAATGTTCACGCCCCATGACGGCCGGCATGGGTTCAGGACGCCAATGTCCGCCAACCAGGGGCACGTTGGAATGAGTGTTGTTGTCCTCTGTGTGTGCACGCAGCGAAAAGTCACATCTCTTGCACGTCCAAGGGCCGATGGCCCAGGCCTAAAATTGAGTCCAAAAACACAAGTCACACTTTTGGCCAGGGGCGGCATCGAAGAAACAGCAAAAGAATGCGAGGATGCAGTCGCCTCAGTTGATGGCAAAGGGGTTTGCTGTTACGTCTCCTCAACCTGTCTCCAAGATCACGACCTTCGTCACGGATCACCACGAGTGTGTGGTTCCAGTCCACCAGCCCTCTGCACGGCGCCGAGATGAAGCAAAAGCCTACATTCCTGGAAGCCTTGGATCATTCCGCCGAGGACTTGAAGGATGTTGGAGAGGCGGTGGCCAAGGCAGTGGCGGCGGCTGGCTCCGGCTCCAGCGCAGCTGGCTCCCCTGCCACGGTCATCGTGCCAGCAGGCCATGCGGGCGCTGGTGGCGTGGTGGTGGCCGGTGGTTCAATCACCGCGGCCGGTGCTGCAAGCACCGCGTCTGGCAGTTCAAGCAAATCAAGCCCTGCGGCTGGCAATGCAGATGGCACTGTCATGGTTCCATCTGGCCATGCGGGCTCTGCCGGCGTGGTGTCCGAAGAGGATGCATCGAAAATTCTCCCTCCGACTGTGCCCCCGGTAGCGACGAGCACTGCACCGGCTGTAGATCTCACCACAGCAGAACTTGTAACTTTGGCTCCCCTCACCACAGCTACCACGCCCACGACTACACCAACAACCACGCCCACCATGCCAGCCACGACACTTGCCACCACTCCCACGACCGTTCCAGTGACTTTGGCCACCACGGCTGTGCCAGAGTCCACATCTGCAATTCTGAAGCCCGGCGGTGCCCTAAGCACAGTCCCTCTTGCAACTACCTCGGCACCGGCTACGGCACCTCCTGCCACTACGGCCAATGTCACGCTGCCTGTGGCGTCGGATGTTGCTACTCTGCCTCCGATCGTGCTTGGGACAACGGGGGCGCCAGAAGAGGAAGAGGCCACTGCTTCAGCATGCTTCAGCACAGGTTCTGCGCTGCTGCAACCCAGGCCATCTTGCCCTCTCCGATCCCTCCGTCGATCAAGGCTCGGAGGAGCAGTCAAGGGGCCACGATGGGAAACGTGCGCAGAGAGCAGGTGGGGCTTCACGTGGCAGAGGAGGAGAAGGAGCGGAAGGCCGACGTGAAGTCCGAGGCGGGGGCGCGGGCGTCTTCCTCCGCCTTTTTAGGGCCCTTTTCAACAAAGAAGGCGATTGCGGCAGCAGCCACCACGGGCGCCTACGTCCTGGCCTCGGCCGCCTCGGCCGCCTCGGCCTCCGGCTCCGCCACGTGGGCTCCTTTGTTGGGGCCGCCCCTGCCCTGAAAAGGCGGTGGGACACGAGGACTCGCAGGACCACGCCAAGGACATGGCGACGAAGGCCAGCTGCTGCTGCTCCCCTGAAGGGGCTCCCGTGGCCCGTGTGCCCTCAGGTCGCCACGTATGTCTTCCATAAAGATGGAGGGCAAGCTATCAATGAGGCAAAAGGGGTCCGGGCAAGGCGCCTTCGAGGCGTGTAGAGGTGTCCCTTGCAGTCCTGGAGAGGCCAAGATTTCGGCGGAGCAGGCCGTGAAGCCTCTCGGCTTTGAGACTTCGGGAGATGCAGTAAACAAAAAAAGGGGGTGTTTTTCTCTGCGCTCAGGGCCGCCATGGATGCCGAGGGCGGCAAATTCGTAGGGAGCCCAGGGCCTCGACGGCGCGCTCGCCGGCGTCGGATGCCGTGGTCCACCGTACTAAGGTGACCCGTGGGCGTTTGATTAACCAGTTCAAGGAGAGACGGAATGAGAGACTGATGGATAGATTCATGGAGCGGCTTGACCCGGCGCAGAGGACTGCTGGGAGGAGTGTGGCAAGAAGCCTGGCTACTGTGACTCTTTCTGCGGACAGGGCAACGCTTGCCGGCCGCTTACTTTTTTGCTGGTACCTGCACATGCATCGTGGGCCGAGTGTTGATTCAGGCTGCCGCAAGACCGGTGACTCCGTCGTCCCTGATGAATGCACAAAGGCACCAACTACAGCGAAGTGCTGATATGCGCGCTTTGGGTGCGGGCGTCTTGTTCGAAGGTGTACACCTTCTACACCCCACATTACGAGTGCATTGTGCCCACGGCCTGCGCCACAGAGCGAACCTGATCCGCAAATTGGACACCACGCCACCGCACGTACCGGCAGGTGCCCTATACGCCTGCGTCTGTGCTCCCAGCAGTACCAAGAGTAAAGGCCAAGGCGGGGCCTTGATGAGCGGAGCAGCACTTTGCTACGTGCGTCATGAATCCCAGCTATCCCTTCTGTGGCCTTGGCCTGTTTCGGAGGAAGGTGGGGACGACACGAGCGAAGTTGCGGTGACGGATGAGACAGTCAAGGAGGACAGCGCTGCACAGACCGCAGTCCATCACACGTTTTGCTGTGCGCAGCTGCGCAGAAACTGTGCAGAGCGCCTGCCTAAAAGCGTCCATGAGGGCTGTGTTGTGCCTGCAGACTCCTGCTCCCAGCGACGGCTTCCCTCTCTGGGCCTGGATCTTGGTCCGGAGCCAAGCGGGAGCCGACGAGCCTCCATCTGGGTGCGTTTTGTGAGTTCTATAGAGGAAGTTTTTGTCGGGATGCCGAGATTGCCTTCACCCTCGTCGCCATCTGCGTGAGTGGCATTGCAGGTACAAAGCGGGCCGGTGCATTGCAGCAACCTGTCACCGTTTCTGCGGCAGGTTGGGAGCTCTCCAAGAACCACGAGAGTCGTGCCGGCACCCTGAAGGTTTCTCGCGATGCCCAGGTGGGAAGGAGGGAAGAAGAGAGCGAACGCCCCAAGAGAACCCCCACATTAAAATGGACCCGAGAACACAGCTGCAGCTCTCTCTCTCTCTCTCTCTCTCTCTCTCTCTCTCCCTCTCTCCCTCTTTCTTTCTCTCTCCAACTCTTATGCCGCTTCGTTGCAACGTTGCGTTGCGGCATGTTTGCGCGGCCCGTGGAGGTCTCGGAGCCCGAGGGTTTGAGCCCTCAGAGTGCGGGAGACCTGGAGCTGCAGGCGCGGCGCAGAGGGCCCGCCCCCCCGCTGCGGGTCGCCTCTCCTGCCTCTTAAGTTTGGTGTCCAAGATTCATGGGGTATGCTTAGATTAATTCTTACTTTGCGTTCTGTTGGCATTCAACTTTGAATCGGGGGATCATTGCAGGGAAGAGCAAGGTGCCAGCTCCCAGCTGGTCCACCCCGGTGAATTCACCTGTAACAACCCGAAGCTTAGGCTCTTAGCTGCCTTAGCTGCCTTAGCTGCCTTAGCTCAGTCCGAGACTCTCCGCAACTAAAACATGGCCTTGGCTCAGGCTCCGCTGGTTCCCAGGCCCGGCATGGCCATGGCCATGGCTGGGCCCGTCCCCGTCGCGGGTGCCTCTTTGGCCTCGATGCCCATGGCAGAGGGGGCCTCGGTTGCTGCCATCGTCACCGGCGGTTTGGGGACAGCAAGTGTTGCTTTGAGGCATCCTACCAGGTGGCACCTCCAGCAGTGCCGGAGCCACAGTTCTTGGTAGCGTGAGCTCAGCTTCAGAGACGTTTGGTGCAAGGTATCAGTACGTTCCGTATGTGGCCGGAACTTCCCAAGGCAGGCCTTCAGCTCGCTCTGCCGTTTCTCTGCCCGCGCTTGTAAGATGATTTCCAAGCTTTCTTGAACAATTTTCTTTCTTGTGGTTTCTCGACGCCAAGGCGAAGCCGATCAGAGTCAGAACCCCCTCCTTGCAGCCTCTGGATGCTTCGCAGGCGTCTACCCAACAGGACAGCCGGCGACCCACGTGGCAACGGCAGGAGCGGCACAGGCCGTGGAGCGGGGGGGCTATTCGTGAGACAGTGCGTACATCGTCCTCTTTGAGGCCATGGTTTCCCCTGCAGGGTCCCAAGAGCTATGCTGACATACCGCCTCTCAAGGCGTCTCGATGTGTCTCCGCTCAGGACTTCTTCGATCGGCTGGACGCGAACCACGACGGCATCCTGCAAAGAGAGGAGTGGGACAGGGCCGTGCAGGCGGGGGCTGCGGCCGGGAAGCGAGTAGCCGCTGTGAGCACAGATTCCCGCAGGCCGGCTCTGTGGCCGTGTCTTACCCTGCCGGCGCTTCTGCAGCTCTCTCCTCGAGACAGTAGCTCCGCACGCGATATGCGGTGTCGCCCACACTGGCACCTCGGACTCCCTTCTTAGGACCTGGCACACGCAGAGTAGGCTTCTCGGCTTGCACGCAGCCAAGGTCTGACGAGAGCAGCTGTTGGTTCTGCGGCGCCCCATGCCGGAACAGACATGCCAACGTCAGCGCAATGACCCTGACACGCGCGAAATGCACATCTCAACACCTTGTCGGACAGTCTTGTGTGTTTTTGGAAGCATGTTCTCGATCATCCTGAAACGGAAACTGAGTGGTGTCGAGAGCATCTAGCTGAATGTAGCTGACACATCCGAGCTTATCGAAGCAGTTTTCACCACAGCACAGACCACGTCGGCATGGTTCTAGTGTTTAGGTGCGGTGTGGATGCTAGAGGACCGAGAGATATGAAAGCCCCCCATCTAGATGAGACTGGCATCCAGACCTCCCCTCGACGAAGTCGAACTATTTTTCATTTGTTTATTTTGTGCGCCACTGGCCATCGCTTTGGAGCGAAGTCTCCCCGGCGCTTGACCTCACTGCAGGCCTAGATAGAGACCTCTCCAATGTGGGAGCAGAATCGGCGGAAACTATGCGGGGCTCCGCGTTTCACAGAGTGAGGCTTGTCGAACCAGCTTGGAGCTTCACTTGGGCGCTCCGCGTGGCCTTCTGGCTCCTTGAACGCCTAAGCTGTCGGATTTGCGGATGTGCACGACGAAGCAGACGTTACCCCTTTACACCTCCAAAACCTCCAAAAGCTCCAGAGCGAGGCTTGCGCTACCATGCGACCTCGCGCGCCTCGCATAGACAGAGAGCCCAGCAGATGAGGGTCCGAGTACACCAGCTGAGCGCATGGGAGCCGCGCTCGGAGACTTTCTCGCGGAGCCTTTCTTCTTTTGCCCTTTGCTGCTTCTTCTGCTCTGCTGGTCTTCTCCTCTTCTCTTGCTCTTCTTTATCTCTCTTTCTCTTCCTTTGTGAGGTCGTCGCACTACTCCTCGAGGCCTCGACGGCCTGGGCCTGGTTGCCCGCCGAGACCGTGCCGGCACCAAGCTTCCCCGCAGTTTCTTTTCCAGAGATGCGCTTTAAAACACGTCCCTTCAGCCCTCTTCAGCCCTCTCATGACCTTGCCAGGAACATCGGCTGGGATCGGCAGCGGCTCGAATCACGGCGGCCGCAGAGGGCTTCGACAGGCCCTCGGGTGCTGAGTTCTTGGCGTGTTCCGCTTGGGCGCTGATTCGCCTCTTCTCTCAAGAAGACGTTGCCAGTTCTGCGCGTCTCGCTGCTCGTGCTTCTCCCTCCTGTCGGGGAGGCTGCGTGCGGAGCTGGCTGCAGGGGGGCCCACCACGAGCCGACTCCTCGCAGGAGCCCGGGGGGTTGCCTGGGCCACTGGGCGGGTCCAGTGCAGTTCCAGTGAAGCGGTGCAAGGCCTGTCGCTGGAAGACGTGGGCCTGCTCCGAGGAGAGGGCGGCTCGGCGGAAACCTTGGCCTCTTTTTTCCTGTTGGGCAGCCGCAAAGCCCTCGCCCAGGGGTGTCGCAAGAGCTGATGTCGCGGTTTGTCAACCTCCAAAGCCGGGGGCCCGAAAGAGAGGCATGGCGGATCTTTCGACCCAGCTGACGTGGAGACCTTACGCCGCGTCTTCTGGCTCGCAGGAAGAGGGAGAACGCAGATGCTGTTGCTGTATTTAGACTGACTTGGGTTTTGCAGCAGGCCGCACTTCACTTGTAGCTCTCAGCCATGGCAACCGTGCCGGTGAACCCGAAGCCCTTCCTTAACGATCTCACCGGCAAGCTGGCCGGGCCTGCGGGGGAGCCTTAAGGGGACGCAAAATCCCTCCTTGAGCCCCAGGTGCTCACGAAGCTGAAGTGGGGGATGGAGTACAAGGGAACCCTGAAGTGCGCCCTCTCTGCCTCTGCAGGCGTTTTTCGGTGCTTTTGAGTGCTTGCGGTTGCCGCAGCCGTCCAGAGAGGGCTCTGGGGTGGGGTTCCCAAGTGCCCGCGGGCTCTGGAAGCGGCGAGAAGGGGCCGTGAGGCAGGGCAGCAGATATGTGGCGACCTCGCATGTCGAGACTTCCGAGGCAGCATGCGCCTGCTGCTAGCTGCACTGGTGGTGGGCGCGTGCAGCCAGGAGGCCTGCGCTTTTTCGAGTCGAGCCGACAAGAGCCTCGAGCTTTCGGTTGCTGTGCCGGTCGCTGTGGAGCGAGCTTACCACAGGGACGAGCACTCGACAGCAGGATGGAGTAAGAACATCCAGGGCCAGTCATTTTGCAAGCTGCCGTGTCCCAACCCTGGGCCCTTGGCAGGTGAAGAAGCCCATTGTGACGACCGGCCTGATCCATGGAACCGGGGAGCTGCTCTACGACATCTATGCAGCCCCTTGGGACCCAAGAGGAGCGCGCCTGAACTGCCGAAACACTTCCTTGCCGATTCCGCAGCAAAGGCGGCGTACCAGCGGTTCTTGCAACACCACGTGGAGAGGCACAGCAAGACGGCCGCAGGCTCAGCCTTGCCGGCCGCAAAGGGGGGGGGGCTCCGGGCCGGCCCAAGCCCGCGCAGCTCAGGTGCGGGATGCCCTGGAGCCGATGATGCCGCCGGACCGGAAGCGTTGCGCGATGTCCGAAGCGATGGCGGATCTTTCTCATACGTTTCTGTCACCGAGAGGTGACTGATACGCTCTTGCTGGTACGTCTGGTATGTTAATTTTCGGAGAGATTTTGCCGTTGCGGCGTTCTCTGTGACAAGCCACAGGACCCTGTAGGCCACATCTGTCAGACGGTGGGCGTCGAGAAGCAGGAGATTTTCCGAAGGTCCGTGCGGCTCTGCCGAGCGGAGAGCGGAGAGCGGAGCGCAAAACCACCTTAGGGTGGACTCGGCCGCGGAGCTGGCGGCGAACGCCCGGGACCAGGCGCAGGCGCGGAGCCTGCGGAGCCTGCGGAGCCTGCGGA